CACAGAATGTTGAGTTGTTGTCAAAACACTTTGCCCCAGGGAGAATCGAACCCACAGATGATGTGCACCACCATAGTGATGCTTCACCTTAACATGAGAACGTGCAGGTTAACCTCTTTGGCCCCGTAACGCCGGCCGCCGGCGCGAATTTGGGAGCGAGGCCGCCTCACCTTGCTTACGTGAATTTTGAGTGGTAAACAAAGCATCGCAAAACATTCGAGTAATGTTCGGTGTGTAGGAGCTTTCGAGGGGTTTAATAGATTCTGACCAAATGAATCTGTCGTAGAAATGAAAATGTAAAGTTCATTAGACGTATGGTAATGAACATTGAAAGCGATTGCGCCTCATCTGTTTCAATAGAAATACCTGGCCATTCACCTTGTTCTGTGTTTACTTCTGCTACACTTCTTATTTACATGTTTATGGAAACAAAAGAAAATGAAAAATGAAAGCAACTAAAAATTTCTAAACTGACCTGAAGTAAAAGTAAGTATTATTAGAAAACTGATGCTCAACCAAAGCATGCCCGAGTGTTCTTTGAGTCCCTATTTCTTTGCTATGTTAAGGTTCATGCTCTAGAAACCTAGGAATACATAGCGAAAGAAGTGGATGAAATCGATGCGGCACGCATACGTCCCGCGCCGTCCCACGTGTCGCGCCAGGTATGGGCGTATGGGCCCCACGCCGCAGTCAACTAAGCTTCTGATGGTGTATCCATTTATGTGAGGTAGCACGACTGCGCAGAAAGGTGAGGTTCAAGTTATATTCCTGCTTAGGGCAAAGTGCTTTGCCAATAATTCAATATACTCGTGATTGCATTGCTTCATGATCTGCTTCAAAAAAGAAGCAGTCAATAAATCAAAGTAAGGTTTGAATCTCACCTCCGTAGCGGTGTCTTCCATGTGTTCACCTTGTTGAGGCGAATGTGGGCAACAGAAGCCGTGTCGCTCAAAGTCCCGTCGGATGCAATAGTGAGACGGTGGGCAGAGGACTTCAGCCGAGCAGAATATTCTGCGACTATCTGAACGATTTCGAAATTGAATCATACGATTTCTCAGCTACAATTTCTGTCAACAACTGGCTGACCACATGCTGTTGGCACTCACAGTAGCAGCCAAAAAGCGTTATCCGAAACAGTTTTTCGTGCATTAGCCTTTTTTCTCGAAAAAGACCTAAACAATAGCTGGAGATCTTTGTCTTTCGAAGGTCATGAAATCTAGAAACGGTTTCATAAGAAAACACCAAATGAGATAACATATAAAGATTAAAAGCGGATCGTTAGAGTAAGAAGAATAGCGCACGAAAAACTGTTCCGGTGAACTTTTTAACAGCTTTAGTATACATACAACGACATCGCGAACGGGAGGCGGAGATGGCGCAGTGAAGAGTGTGTCGCTCACTAAGAGAAAGGTCAAAGGTCCAATTCCAAATCCAGTGCTGATCAGATCGTCTATGTCCTTCATCCCTTCGCTCAATTATTGTTAGCGGACTAGTCTGGTCAGATGAAGACTGATTTTTCTCCAAAGAAGCCCTCGACATCAGCTGGCCCTCGCAAAGGGGTGGGGTCTACAACGAATTTAAAGGAAGAGTTCACGAACGAAGTCAAAGAAGGGAAAATTGCATAGTTGGGAGACAGGCGGACCTCCTGAGGGTGCTGACCGACGCGCAATTGGCAGCGAAAGATTTGACCTCGGCGATCTAGCATGGCTCACTCTTGGCGCGGTTGGCGGGGTACGCCCACCGACTATCTAATCACTCGCCGCATCTATACGTGGCGAGTGATTAGATAGCAGAGAGAGCGTAGTGTTGAAGAGGGCACAGCGATGAGAGTCGCATCAATGCGCAAATCAACGGGCAAGGAAGGGGTCCCATTTCTCGGGTTTCGGGCCGTTTCAAATGGTTTCTTCTTCATCCCTGCTCCACTGACCACCTCTACCCTTATTTCCAATGAGCTAACTTTTCATCGTAAATTCTGCCTTTAAATAGCACCAGGATTCTGAGTGGACTGGGGCGGGGCATGAGGAAAAGGAATCGATAAAGCCCCTTCTAAAAGAAGCGGTTGAAATGCGGGAAACGCTTCAATTTCTCAACCTCGCCTCCAGCGTATCAATGGAATGGTTCACTCACCTTCAGTTGCTTCCGAAGAGCATACAGGGGTGTTGGGATTGGTCCATCGCCGTCGACAGCAAACAAATCTGAAAAGATGCCCTGGGTTATGCGTTACTAACACGGAGGAACTCTGATTCTGAGACCCTCGTGAAATGGGATTTCATTTGTTTTCAACGAAATGTACAGAAAGAGCTGCTCGAGGAACACGAGCTAGGGTCAAATGGTGAGCACTGCACATCTGTCACGGAGTTCTCGTCTAGTTCGTGTGTTGGTGGGCAATCCATGGGTTTCATAGGAACTTCAGCAGTGTCGTGTGTTAATAGCAGGTTTTTGTGAACGGATTTACAACAGATCCCAGACTGGAAATTACTCGACTTATGACATGTCGCTCTCTCTGGGCAGTGACTGTCGTGGTTACATCCAAAGGGGTCTCCAGTGCGGAGGCGAACAAGCCGTGAACCGAATGGACATGTACCTGAAAATGGAAACACTTAGAAACAGTCACTTTCACGTGCTAGCATCAGGACGCAGCACGCTGTCTCTAGACCGCTTCTACTGTAAGAATACCGCAAGCGGCTTTCTCTAGTATTGAAAGCAAAACTTAGCCGGCATTTTGCATAGCCGCTTATTTCATACCTATTCAATATGATGGCACAAGGTTCAGAGCCATGCAATGCAGCAATCACCAGTATTTCGCGGCTGGAGAACAGCGTCCAACAAGGGAAGGATCCCAGGTCGCAGTGGCCATTTGTAACGAAACCTATACCCACAGACGTGTTTTCGGACGCGATCTCAAATCCGTCTTCCAAATTTGCGGACCGATTCTCTGAACAGGGTTGTGAGACATGCTTGTACGCATTGTCTACAGCACGGTAGACAAACATCTTGGATGCCTTGTGGTCTGCGCGGGACGGTGCGGGGCGTATGTGTTCCGCACCAGTGAACTTTGCGCACGTTCCGGGCTTATTTCCATTTCCGTATTCAATGTCACATCATCCCTGGTTTAGCAAGGGTCTATCAAGTTTTACCAAATAATTGCTGTTCTTTTTTTGCTATCATGCACAGTCACGATCTGTCTAACAGACCCATGCGTACGTACAGCGTAGACACAAACCATGCGCGCTCGCGAAATTTCTCCAATTCCACATTTTATCCGCCTATCCTATTTTTACGCTGCATTTTTGGACTTTTTTGCTGTCATGGAACACCATGAATGAAGCAGATTTTCGGGATTGTGAAATGGCTCTTTACCCGGAACTATCGATAAGTTTCATCGACAAGGTTTTTCGGCGCGCTACTTTAGAAGCGTCTTGAAATGAACAAAGCAGTAGTCTAACAAGGGAGGTCTTTCAGGGCAAGTGCGCTTTTTCAAAACGGTTTTGTGCATATTGTAGGGACGCATGTAGGGAACGCAAAACCATGTTTCATTTTCGCTGAACGGTTATAGCAGTACCAAAAAAGAAGCATAAGGTACTGTTAAGGGTTCGATCCCCCGTGGCGACTAAATTTTGCATTTGGGTTGGCGCCTACGGTTTGGTGCCAAATCGCGCTAAATATCAAAATCAGATGTCAAATTCATCGTCAGGACCATTTTGAAGCCAACAAGTGGCCGCCAACCTTGATTGCAAAATTTAGTCGCCGCGGGGGATTGAACCATCAAGAGTATTATTCACCACTTTTTTGGTACTACTAAAACCGTTCAGCGAAAACGAAACATGGTTTTGTGGTCCATACATGCGTCCCTACAACATGTACTAAACCGTTTCCAAAAAGCGCACCTTGCCCTGAAAGACCTCCCTTGTAGATCCGATATCTGCTGGAACTCCGAGGTCCGGAATTTTACAGTCTGCTCTCGAAAAGGTCCGAGCTGGACCTGAAGACACCGACCTGCGGGTCGCGGTGGATGCTTCCCCCAACCGACTCATGATCCTGTATTAAGGGTCCGAACTGGTGGCTTACCCACTTTATTTCAAAATTTTTCTGAGTATACAACTTCAACTCATCCTATATAAATATAGAAATACGCGTAGGCTCGACTTAGGCCACTTAGCCAGAAGCGCTTTATTACGTTGTGATCCATCATTCTTAGAATCTAGCACTCCCACAATCAAATCACAGAAACTGATTAACAATCACATTCGATCAGTCTTGAACACTTCATAGTTCATTACATAATGCATTTTTTATCCCTAGATAGGCAGATTATGAGCCACTCCTGTACTCTTATCTGCCTTATCTTAGCACTGCCCATAATTGCGCTACCGCACAGGATTTAGTGATGCACCGCGTCCGATGGGATAAGTTTGAAGCGCATTTCCTAGCATTGTAGGCTGGATACAGCGTGCTAGCACAATGTGTACGTTTGAATAGAATTTGCTAATATCAAGCCAGGACCTTTATTTTTTGCCTCTCCACAGCAATAATGCCGTCTCTTTGTACTGTGGGGGAGGCAGTGAAATCCGATCGGGCAGACGTCTTTACGGTTACCGTGACATGTGATTGGAAGGAGAGAAAGATGGCTGATGAACGGGCGAAAACCATCCGGACACACATCTAAAATCACTTGGAGGAACACCGTTGACATAAATGTTCGTATTCTAAAATCCTTCATTGAAAAGGTCTCTCCAACCTCGATGAGGCGTGCCACAGCAAACCATTCTTGATGCGTTTCTCGAATCGGGGACACATGAGTATCCAGCGGGGCATGGTGTTCGCGCGCAATCATGTACCAATCCAGTAGACTGAGAAATGAACACGGTCTCGGATACAGCACACACTGAAAAGTATCAGGTCCTTCAAAAACTTCAAGACAGGAGGGGCGAAAAGCTGCAAAGTTGTTCACCTGCACCGAGACAAAAATTGTAGCAGAGCTCCGTTGTCGCAAAGTTGTTCGAATTCCCTCCACAACCAAGGAACAGCAACGGTTGACACTGTTGTGACTTTGAGTCGAAAGAATATCTGAATAGACTTTGATGGCAATCTTTTTAGGGAAGTTTACAGTGAAGGAAACTTCTTATCTGAATATTAATGAAAGAACAGAGCGATAAGGTTGAAATCTCGCTGTATTTGAAAATGGCCTTTTTGTTGCATAACAAAGTAAGATCGTCACAAGCATTCAAAAAGTTCGCTTTGTCCCTCAGCTTATATGTAACTCACCTTAGGATTGAGCCTGTGCACAGAAATTTTTTTTTGCCAGAAGCCGAAATTACTATTTTATTACGGAAAAAAACACTACTGGAGTATATCCTACTATATATAAGCGGCTAGCGTGTGTCTGTTGGTGTGTGTGTGTGTGTGTATGTTTGAACGGAAATTCATAGCTCGAGTCACAGTAACGATAGCGCAGTGGTTCTTACATATGTTATAGGGGGTGGGATGGGGACACAAGTGGTACGTGATAGGAACTGATAACGACTGATAATAGCTGATAAGAGGGGCTAGAAAGCGAGCATCGCCAATTTCGTTTTGCCGTTCATATTGGTAAAGAGCGTCTATACTTACAAGTGTTATGTGGGGTGGTCCCGGGACATTGGTTGGTGGGTGCCAGAAACTGATAACGATTGATAAGGGCCGATAAGGCGCGCCAGAACGCTGAAGTCGTCGATTCCGTTGCCTGGCTCGCGTTGACACCAGAGCAACCATACTTACAAGTGTTATGTGGGGTGGGACGGGGACATTGTTGGTGGGTGCCAGAAACTGATAACGATTGATAAGGGCCGATAAGGCGCGCCAGAACGCTGAAGTCGTCGATTCCGTTGCCTGGCTCGCGTTGACACCAGAGCAACCATACTTACAAGTGTTATGTGGGGTGGGACGGGGACATTGTTGGTGGGTGACAGAAAGCGATAGCAACTGATAAGGGCTGATAAGGTGCGTCAAAAAGCGAAAGTCGCCAATTCCGTTACGCAGCGTTGACACTTGAGCGTTCCTACCTACAAATTGTATGCTTACTTAATAGAATTCATTCGACTGCATGAACCTAAACAAGTCTTCAGCAAATGATAAGCTTCATTTCTGATGCACTATCAAGAAAACCCAAACTCATTAAACCGCTAATCCTTTCGGGGTTCTAAATAATGGTGAATGTAAATGAATGATAAGCATTAGCTCCTCACTTATGTAAATAGGCATATTTCGTTTGATTTTGAGACTGACAGCAATCCTATTCACCGCTAAATTATCTTAATTCAAGAAAATGCTGGATGTTTACAGAGTTGTGATCAATATACCAGTTCAGCTCAGACGTTATCACGCGTATTCTCGATGAGCTTCAGTGAAACTGTGGAGGGTCTAACACAGTCAATAGTGAGATGGTTAATGGAGTATCTCATGCTGATATTCCATGGGTCCTCCAATTTCGCTAAAGCCTGCCGTGTGATGCGCGCGATAGCGGGCGAAGCAAAACTGGTATAATAACTTCATTCGAATTCTGGTCATTTTTCCTACTCCAAAATCATTATTAATTATCCCTACTATATATAATGCGCTATGTCTGTCTGTCCGTCTGTCACGAAATTCGGTATCAAGCGAACAACAACCTACAGGGTCCAGGTCAAGTTTGGGATGGGTATACCATATCCCTAGAAGTAAAAAACACACATCAGCCAAGCGGAGCCCCGCCCACAGTGGGCGTGGCGTGCATCGGTTGATTTCAAATTCAGTCACAAAACAGCCTCGAGACCGGGACAAAAGTGGGCATAGGTGTGGGTTGGTAAGCCAGATCGAACTGAGGAGACCCACCCTCGGTGGGCGGGGCGTTCTCTAGAAAATGGGTGCTCAGTGAAAATATTCATAACTCGGTTAAGAGGAAGCCTACAGACCAGAAACGAAATTAGTGCAGGGGAGCAATGCCTAAGGTATTTCCACCACGCATGATGTGAACGGAGGCCCGCCCACAATGGGCGGAGCGTGTCGTGAAGCGGACAGCATTTTCTACAAGAGCTCATAAATCGGCTCCGAGATGACTTAGAGACCGGAAAAAACGGATAGAGGTCAGGAGGGGAGGGGAAGCTAAATGTCAGGGATGGGCGTGGCTTACATCAAAGTGGGCGGAGTTTGCAATTAGGCTTATAACTCGGTTCCTAGGAGTCCCGGAGTCCGGGAAAAAAGCGTATGAGGGTTGGCAGAGGGAAAGGGGTCAACCGTTGTTGGCGGGCGGAGCATGCACCAAAGTGGGCGGGGTTTGCCACGGTACTTCATAACTCGGTTCCAATAAGTTCCAGAGATGGGAGAAAAGTAGAAAAAGGTTGGGGAAGAGATGATAGCCGACTGATATCAGTGGGCGACCCACGCACCAAAGTGGGCGGGGTTTGCCACAAAGATACGTAGCTCGATTTCGTCCCCTACAAGACCTCATAATTCGGCTCCGAGATGACTTAGAGACCTGAAAAAAATACGCCAGAGGTGAAAGTAGGAGTAGAGGTTGAATGTGAACGCTGGGCGTGGCACACCCGGATGTGGGCGGAGTTTGCCACCGCTCTCATAACTCGGTTCCTAGAAGTTCCGGCGACCGGGGAAAATGTGCATAAGTATTGAGGTATGGAGTAGGGTTGAATGCCATTGTTGGGCTAACCATGCACCAAAGTGGGCGGGGTCTGCCTCAGAAATTCGTGACTCATAACGCCATTTACAAGACCTCATAATTCGGCTCCGAGATGACTTAGAGACCTGAAAAAAATACGCCAGAGGTGAAAGTAGGAGTAGAGGTTGAATGTGAACGCTGGGCGTGGCACACCCGGATGTGGGCGGAGTTTGCGGCGTAAGTAAGATGTACCGAGCAGAAAGCTAAAATCAAGACAAAAATACTGATGGGCCCGATTTTACCGCTGCAGCCCCGTCTCATGCACGCGAATGCGTGCGCAGCCAAACTGGTTATATATATACTGAAACTCGTAGATTCACTTGACATTGTTCGTTCTTTGATTGAACTATACGATTCCCATGTCGTTTTTCTCGATGTTGTGGTATAAGCTTATCTATATCCATCTGCTGTTACATTCTTATTCTGCTTCTAAAGGAATCCTGTATTCTTTCTCCATGTCGTAGGCGCTTATCGGGTAGAGCCTGTCCGAGATGTTGAAAATTTCATTGCAGCCGCGCGCCTCAAGCGGCGGAGAATCTCGTAGGTGACTCATCTTTCATTCGAGGCCTTTTTTGTGCCGTTCTGCTTGTAAACTAGATCTTCAGGAGCACTATCACTGCACTATAAGGCCTGCCTATCCGCTTAGTACCTGCACTATAGAAGCGGCAGCAGAAAAAAGGTAGATTTTAGGTGACAGTTTGTCGCTGGAAGCTTTGTATATGCCTTATTTGAGTATTTGGTTATGTAATTCATTAAAAATCATTGAATAAAGTTTAATTACCCAAGTTTGAGGTCGGAGATCAAAGACCCGCGTGGCGGCAGAAAGTGTTTGTGGTACCGTATCACGACTATATCTGTGGCTATCTAAGATATCTCTATATATCCGACTTCATTGATAGAGGTTATTCAATCTATGTTTTCCGTTACATTCCACACCCTTTTTATCATCTCAGCTAGATCAGCGACACAGTCATGATAATACAATTTTAGTTTCAAAATAATCTATTGAACCGTTCTTTTAGGTGAAAATTCAGTTCCGGGGGACCACTGTTTGTCACCTATCCTCAGCTTCAGAGAGCACTCCTTTGGACTGCTCGACATTAAGGATTAAACAATATGTAAAAGAAACAAAATTAAGCAAGGAGTGCAATGAGGAACATTAGTGGGGAGAAAAAGCAAAAAGCACCATAGAAAACACTGAATTTCCCTTGGAGGCCGGCCGTAGTATGACGGAGAGACACAGCGCTGCGAGGAGAGGGAAAACGCGAGATAGTACGTCGTACGCGAGAGGGCGCAGACACCACGTATGCCGTGGATTGATAAGGATGGCAGCACGGCAGCACACAAGGCAAGGCCTTAGCGTCGTTGCTTCGCACTTTAGAGTCGACTGGCTCTTGGATCTAAACCCTGACTCGTAGCTTTAACATCGACTTCCTGTCATGGCTGAGGTGCTCTCTTTCCCACCTCCCCTCCCCTCTGATGAATTATGCGAAGTGAGAGGAAGAGTATGCGATTCGTCCCGGAAAAAGTCAACCTCCATAGGCATGTTCCAGAAGCATCAGAAAATTAAGGAACAAGTTCGATGGTAGTGTTCTCAAAGAAGAGAAAAGCTATGCGGAAGACAACTAGGATAAAAACGAATTTCCTTGAGGTTGTACCAAAAAGGCATTACCACACGTTTTGTCTATATGTAGTGCACAGAAAA